GAGCTGAATCATTACTTATCACTTGACTCGCAAGAGGGTCTTTCCAAGTCAACTTAGAAATAGAAACCTGATTGACACCGAGAAGTAATTTCTCGTAAAGTACTGCCACATTCTTCTTAAGTAGTGCTGAACCCTTGTTAAGTTTACCCTTTAGTGCATTAATATTTTTTTGGATTTGATTCGAATTAAGAGGTCCTTCTTTATTAATTTTCACCGCTCCTATTTTACGTAAGCTACAGACAGTTTTGTAGGAGATTTCGAACTAACACAGACATATAATTTTAATTAATTCCTAATCATATAGACAAAAAATATAATTATCAAAAGCGCATGCGCTGTCAGATGATAATAAAGCCCTATTCATGTGTGGTTAGCTACTCCAACACACAAACAAGACTTTATGTGATACTAAAAGCAACCACATAGAATTGAGCATATTTCTACACCCTAATATTCTCCACACTGCCGAGGAAAAATTTTCCTGTGAGTGGGCTAATAGAACATTAGGCTGTTATGCACTCTTCCTCAGAACGGTACCACTGCCTGCGTAATCATCATTCAAAATAAGTGCTCTATTTGCCCCATGAGATTTGAAATCTTACCTCAACTAGAATGTCGGAAAGGGTCTTCTTATGTGAGGAATGTTCCTCCGCAAATGCTACAGCTTGTCTAATAATATTTTTCAATTCTTTTTTAGTTATCCAGGGATTATCTTCGATTCCTTTATAGATAACAGATCCAGCGGTAATATTTTCTTTCTCGGCATTTAGCAAAAAATTGCAAATTTTATTGTACAAGTCGTCGTACAAGTCGTTATTCATGGCAAATATTTTTGTAAATTAATGAGACTGTAAGTTAATGATAATGAGAAAACAATAAAATCACTACAAAGCGATAAATAACTGTAAATTTAAAATACTGCCCTATTTATGCATCTTTCTTCATCTATTCTGAAACTCAAAATGTATAGGAGGTTAGTCAAGAAAGCATTCTTACATCAAAAAATTTTGAAAAATAGAAATCGATGCATATATCACAAGTTATCCGACCATTTTTGGCCCGTGAATTTTCTGTCGCACAGATAATCTACTATGTAAAAAAAAGCACAGGCAAGGGAGTGAATTCTCCACAAAATGAAGAATAGATGTGGCATGAGTTAATTGACCGACTT